TCTCTCTCTATATATATATATATATGTATACACACACACACACACAAACACACACACACACAAGCTCATTTAAGTTGTTGGAAGAGTCAAGTTTCTTGTGGTTGTAGGACTAAAGTCTATATTTTCATGGTTGCTGTCAGTTCAGGGCCACCTCATCTCCTAGGGACCTCTCTGCTCTTTACATAGGGACTGGTACATCTCAGAGCCAGCAATACCATAATGTCTTTCTCATGCTTGGGGACTGACTTTCCCTTCTGCCACATCTCTCTTGCCTGCTCCTTAAAATTAATCTTTCTGACTATAGCCAGAGACAGTTACTGTTTTTAAGGGTTCATGTGATTAGACTGTGTCACTTGGATGATCCCAGAAATGCCCTCCTCTTAAAGTCTGTAATCTTTATTAACATCTTCAAAGTTATTTTGCCATGTAACATAAGAAATTCAGTTCTTAGGAATTAGGGCATTAGCATCTTTAAGTGGAGTCATTCTGCCCACACATATTTCTTATCTTGTTAGAAAGGAAACCCTCAGAACAATCAGTAAATTTTGAAATAAGTAAATAATTATGTAATATCTGTAATGTAAAAGATACTTCATTAGATATGGCACCCATATGCACTGCTCAGCATGTGTAGCAGCCCTGACCTACAGGAGTTCAACAAAGTCTTGGATGTGTCCATTTAACTAGGCGGCTGGGATGCCTGTTGGAGTCTTGGCTTATACAGTTACCTTCCACTCTGGTGATGTTTCCTAACACAACTTGCCAAATTATTAATACACAGCTAGTAAATGGCAGACTTTTTGCATGAGAGCAGAAGAGTAATAGGGAGGATCAACAACAGCAGTGAATTAACAAGTAGTTCTTAGAATCTAATGACATTTGCTGGACATGCCTTATGTTTCTGTTTTACAGGTGATAAAACTAGGGTCCAGAGCAGGGATGCGACTTCCCCAAAGTCTTATAGCTACACAGCTAGTGAATAGTGGACTCGGTTTCTGAGCCCAGGTGTCTGTGTACTATACTACTCCCCTTCTGTTGGTCATTGAAACTAAAATTGTTTAGTGATTCTTTCAATTTTCATTGTATTGAAATCAGATTTTAGAGCTTTTGAATCTTCTTTTGAAATCAGAACATAATCTTATTTTTATAGATAATGTGATTTTTGATGTTCTTTTATTACTTTTTTTTTCCATTTCAAAATAACAAAGGATGGGCTAGCATAATATTTATTTCACTGATTGCTTCCCTTCTTTATTTTCTTAACCTCATTAATAGTATAGATTCATTTCTGTTGTCTGCTCTGAGCTGTTAGAAACTTGCCTTTTACAAAGCTTTTCCATGTGCAGTTATTCTAATTGAAATAATGGGCCTCTGTACAAGAAGGAAACTATATGTGACTAACCCTGGGGATCTAGGAATTCTTTACTTTGAGCTTTAGCACCACTTTTCATTATTTTGAAGTCCAGCTGCTAATTGTTTCACCTTGTGGCATTAATGCTATTGGAGCAGTGCAGTTTCCAATTTTTACCTGCCTTTTACACTCAGGAGAATTAAAAGCAGCAGTATCTCATTCTAAGAAGTGGGCTACCCAGATTTTCTGGGCTGAGAAAATAAAACCTAAAGGGATAAAGAGAATAGTACAATAACTTTCATTTCAGCATCTAAATTATATTAGAATGGCTTAACTCCTTTTCCACACTTGGAAAAACTTATCTGTTCAATCTTAGGTGAAAGGTAGTGCACTTTCCATTGGAGCATTTGCTTTGTATTTGTCACTTTTAAAGCATTTTTTTTTTAAATTTTGCTGTAAGAATGATGCAGTTAGCATCTGTTGTCAATGTACTGTAATGGAGCCCACTAATGTTCTACATCCCTCCTCTTTCACAGAGTACGATTTTGGAAGCAAAGTAATTTTCAGTGATCTGAAAGGCTGTTTGATATATAAAAGGAATTACCAGAATGACTAACATAACCATTCTTATTTTTCCTATCCTCAAAATGGTACTCCTGCCCCCTCCTACACCCCCATGTTTCTCAGGATGTGCTGAGTTTTCTCTCTACTCTGGAAAATGCTGAGAGAAAGAGAAACTAAATATGTGGAGCAGAGAAAAAACTTATCTGAATATTCTTCAAAATACTTTCCTTGTAGTCCTTCAAATTTAAATTTTCTTAAAGTATTTACTGTTATATAAAAGATGTAAACTTTTTTGATTCTTTTATAAATATTAAACTTAGAGTATTGTCTTATCCAATGTTAGGACTAAATAAGAAGTAAAAAATTCACTGATTTCTCAGGAACTAAGAATAAGCCTTTTAAGCCTTCATTCATTCATTCATTAAGTTAGTTGGTTTTTTTTTTTTTTTTTAAAAATAGTCTTGCTCTGTTGCTCAGGCTGAAGTGCAGTGACGTGATCTCGGCTCACTGCAACCTCTGCCTCCTGGGTTCAAGTGATCCTCCTGCCTCAGCCTCCTCAGTAGCTGGGATTACAGGCACGCCCTACCACACCTGGCTAATTTTCATATTTTTAGTAGAGACAGCTTTTCACCATGTTGGCCAGGCTGGTCTTGAACTCCTGACCTCAGGCAATCTGTCTCCTTGGTCTCCCAAAGTGCTGTGATTACAGGCGTGAGCCACTGTTCCTGGCCTCATTCAGTTAATTTGTTGAGAAGCTACTGTGTCCTAGACACTATTGACCACTGTGTAAACAGTGTCACTTTCTAGTAGTATCTCATTCTAAGAAGTGGGCTACCCAAATTTTCTGATTTTTTGATTTTTATGCAGTCAGTCATTTTAAAAAGAAATTTAGAAAGCAAGAAAAAATATTCTATATTTACCTATTTACCATTTCTGATATCTTTCCTTTTGGCAATATGAGTTTCTCTATAATATCATCTTCATATCACCTTTATTTTTGAAGGGTAGTTTTGATGGATATGAGATTCAGGCTTAACAGCTTTTATCTTTCCATACCTTAAAAATGTAACTCCATCGTCTTCTAGCTTATATTATTTCTGATCAGAATACAATGAAAATTTTTATTTGTGTTTGTGTATTTTTACTGTTTATTTTTACATTTGGCTGCTATTAAGAATCTATATATCACTGGTTTTCAGTTACTGATTTTGGTAATGTCTTGATATATTTTTTTTCCTGTTTATCCTGCTTGGGATTAGTTTAGCTTTCTGCATCTGTAAGTTATAGTTTTACCAAACTCGGAATTTTTTTAGTCCTTATTTCAAGTACATTTTCTTCCTCTGTGACTCCAATTATATGTTTGTTAGAATGCTGGATACTGTTCCACAGGCAATGAGGTTCTACTGGATTTTCTCCTCAGATTTTTTTCCCCATTTGTCCTTCATTTTGGATAGTTAACATTGCTGTGTCTTCAGATTCATGGATCTTTTCTTCTGCAGCTAAGCTTATTTGTTCAATTTTTCATTTCAGATATTGTATTTTTCTGCTTTAGGAGTCGTATTTGTTTCTATTTTGTATTTTTCACTGTTCTCATCATACTAATATTTTCAGTGAAATCTTTAAAAATATTTGTAACAGCATTTAAAAGGCTATTTGTCAGCTACTTCTGTCTTCTCTGGGTTTATTAATGATTTTTCTCCTGATTAGGTTTCTGTGTCTTTTTATGTGCAGTAATTTTTTATTGCTTGCTGTGAATGCTATGTTATTGTGAAGGGTCGTTTTAAAGCTTCATTTCAGCAAGTCTATAGTAGCCTTTGCTTTTGGGCCAATTTAATCCTTCTACAAAGATTTTTTGTTTGTTTGTTTGTTTGTTTTTTTTGAGATGGAATCTCACTCTGTTGCCCAGGCTGGAGTGCAGTGGTGAGATCTTGATCATGGCAATCTCCACCTCCTGCAGTTTAAGCAATTCTCTGCCCCAGCCTCCTGAGTAGCTGGGATTACAGGCATGTGCCACTATACCCAGCCAATTTTTTGTATTTTTAGGAGAGACTGGGTTTCACCATCTTGGCCAGGCTGGTCTTGAATACCTGACCTGATGATACACCCTCCTTGGCCTCCCAAAGTGCTGGGATTATAGGAGTGAGCTGCCGCACCTGGCTGGCATTATTATTATTATTATTATTTTCCTGAGCTCTCTACTAAAAGTCTTCAATGTTCAGTGAAGTTGCTTAGAACTCACATGTCTCCCAGCCCTATGTGAGCTCTGGGAATTGTATCACTTAGAGCTCCCTGGTAGTTGTTCTTTGCCTGGCCTCATGGAATCTCACACTAAACATGTATAGCTTACTATCTGTCTGAAGCCTCAGTGAGACTCTATTCAGCTTTTTGGAGTTCTATTAATATCTCTGCATACTTTCCTCCTTGGAGGAGCTCTTAGAAACCTTAGTTTCCTCAGCCTTCCCAAACTGATCTCTATCTTCTTAACTCTGTGAATGCCATTTTCTGCTTGGGTTCCTCCTCCTCATCCTACCATCTATAGTACCTTTAGAAAAAAAATCTGGGGTATCTTAGGGCTTATTCATTTTCCTTCTTTCAGAGATCACAGTCCTTCCCTGCCTGCTGTGTAGTATCTGTATATAATTGTAGCATATATCTTACTCAGGTTTCTTGATGTTTACAGCAGAAGGGTAAGTTCATTATGTCTAGAGGCAGAAGTCCATGCTAGTTTAATTTTAATTCTGATTCATTCTTATTCAAATAGTACTTAGTTAATGGGAATCCTGCCCAGCTGATTATACAAGGTGCAATAGGGGCAGGCCTCTGAGATTTGGGGTTTTGTATTGACTTGCTAGGCATACATTCTAAGTAAGTGCAGACTGGGCCATCCTAAATCACAAGATTAGTAGCAAGACATATCAATTTTCTTAGGTTATTCTCTCATTACTTTAGAGTGAGTGAAGTTTTTAAAAATACTTCAGTTTTCTTATGCCCTCTTGAATCAGAACCGATTCCTATAAATCATGTTTTCCTTATGTGAAGTGATATAGCTGTATTGCTAATCAACTGTATCCTTTTAAAATTTCAGGAGCAGCATTTCTTGCTATTACAACTATCTATGCTGAGACTGGTTCAGGTTTTGTAGTACCGAGTGCTTCTGCCAAAGCAGGCGTGGAAGCCATGAGCAAGTAAGTACCTCCTTGTCAATTCTGTTGCTGAACATAAATAATACAGTTTGGTGGCTCAGGGAGGTAAATTGCTGCTTTCTGGTCTCCATCCAGAGAAAAGTAAAACAAAGACTTGGATTCACCATGAGACACAGATTTTATCTCCCAGATAAGTCCTGTTCGTCTATAGCAGCACTGTCCTTTGGAGCTTTCTGCAGTGATGGAAATGTTCTGTAAATATGCACTATCCAATAGCCACATGTAGATATTGAACCCTTGGAATGTGGCCACTGTGACAGAGAAACTAAATTCAAAAAATTAATAGCTGTGTATGGCTAGTGGCTACGTATTAGACACCACAGGACTATAGCTTTTTTGCTTTCTCATAGATCTTTAGCAGTGCCATCCCTAAGCCCTCTCATAAGCACATGTTTATTCTTTTATTGTACATACTGTATAAGATTAAGAGTACTAACACAGACCATGAGCACTTGCCAGGTCCAGTGGCGTTTTCTCAGCAGAGCATGACTGCTTTTTTTTTTTTTTTTTGAGACCGGGCTTCACTCTGTTACCCAAGCTGGAGTGCAATGGTGCAATCACAGCTCATTGCAGTCTTAATTTCCCAAACTCAAGCTATCCTCCTGCCTTAGCCTCCTAAGTAGCTGGGACTACAGCACCTGGCTAATTTTTAAAAATTTTTTGCAGAGACGAGGTCTTGTTATGTTGCCCAGGCTGGTTTGGTACTCCTTACCTCAAGAACTCCTCCTGCCTCAGCCTCTCAAAGTGCTGGGCATGATCCACCATACCCAGCCATGATTGCTTTTTGAATTTGTTCTCCATTGGCCTTTTCCATTGTCTTTGATATAATGGAGGTTCTCATCATTTCATAGCTTGTCTGGCTTACTATAATCATGGCATATTTCTTTGCTAGCAATTTCTTTCCCCTGTATTTTTTATTCACATTTTCACTAGAATTATCTTTCTAAGAACATGTAAATCTGCTCATGACATTCCCCAGCTAAAATTCAGATCATTTCTGGTCACTCTTTGGAATAAAAGCCAAAACTCACTACGGCATTCTAAACAGACTTGTCTCTGGCCATTGTTAATTAATTAATTTATTCAGTAAATATTTATTATATGCCTTATGTGTGCTTGGTCCTAGGGATATGATAGTGATGGAAATAGAACAGTTCTCATTGTCAGCTGAGTTTAAATTTTTTTACTATTCCATTTATTTTTATGCTTTAATTTACATTGAACTGTTCCATATTTCCCTAAACTTACAATACATTTTCATATATCTATGCCTGAGTTATATTGTTGGAATTTTTCTGTGGTGTTTTGTGTACTTCCTTTGGGATGTTTTCTCTTTAATCATTCCCTTCTCTCTGTGCCTTAAAAGTTTGTTTAATCCAATCTAGTGAGAGGGCAAACTCTGATAGATTCTAAAATTAAGATAAGATATTTATATAGCAGAGGCAGAGAGCAGGGCATGGCTGGCATTTTCATAACATTAAGCAATCTGATGTCCCAATTTGAGCATGAATTCTGTGAGAGAAGGGACCATATGTTTGCATCCTTAGTACCTAGAAGGGCCTGGTCCATAGCTGGTGCTCTATGCTTGTTGAGCTGAATTATTGTACTCTTCTTTTAGTAGTCCCAGTGCATTTTAAAATATTTAAATCAGTAAATACACATTAGTTTGAGATAGAAATATTTATTCACAAGCTGAATCTTAGTCTGAATAGAGATAATTACCATTTTTTAAGGTCGGGTTGTGTTGCAAGTAAAGGATGAGAACTTGACTATTTTGGCAGCATTTGTACAATGTCAATATTTGTTTTGTTGGGACTATTTTATTTTGTTAAAACTTTCCATCTCATGTCCTTTAAGAACTGATTTTTTGATGCTTTTCTTTGTGTTCCTGCATATAATAGATGCTCAATAAACATGTGCCTCCCTTTACAGCTTGAGTTCCCATTGACCTTCTTCTTATACTTTATAGTACACAGTCATACTAAATAAGGCATTGTAGGCTCCCAAATTCTGCATGTTGTTTGGGCCTTTGCCTTTTACCCATACTGACCCATATGCCTTGGCTGTCTTCCTTTCTCCATCTGTATTAGTCTGTTCTCACACTGCTATGAAGAAATTTCTGAGACTGAGTAATTTACAAAGAAAAGAGGTTTAATTGACTCACAGTTCTGCATGGCAAAGGAGGCCTCAGGAAACTTACAATTATGGTGGAAGGCACCTCTTCACAGGGCCGCAGGAGAGGGAATGAGTGCCAGGTGAAGGGGGCCCCTTATAAAACTATTAGATCTTGTGAGAACTTACTATCACGAGAACAGCATGGAGAAAACTGCTTCCATCACTCAGTTGTCTCTACCTGGTCTCACCCTTGACATATGGGGATTATTACAATTCAGGGTGAGATTTGGGTGGGGACACAGAGCCAAACCATATTACCATCCTACCTTCTTAATTTCTCACCTCCTTCTCCTTTCCCCTGCCTCTTGCCATAAACTCCTATTACTTCACCCACCAACTCAAATATTACCTCTTCACAGAAGCCTTCCCTGTCACTCCCACTTAGGTTCTTCCTTTAAGCAGGTATGGCTCACATCATAGAATTCCTAGCCTAGTAACTAGTTCATTATATAACCAAACCCACCTCTTTTGATTGGAACAGACTGCTCTTTTGAGAGCAGGGATTGACTTTATTTGAGGCTAAACAGTATTTATAGTTTTGACACATGGCAAGTATATGATAAACGTGTTGAATGAACAATAATAATGGCTAACATATTGAATATATTGTTCTTAGCATTTAAACATGCAGAGCTAACTGTATGAGGTGGATTCATTATCAAATTACAATAGTTCTTCAGTTTACCAGCTAGCCTAATGATAGTTGAAAGATCATGCTAGCAACTGAACAAATGTATCTGGCATACCTCTGAGTAGAGAGAGGATGGCTTTTCCTCTAGGTAGATTTTCTTAACAGGTTGCTCAGTTTTTCATAGGATAGTATAGACTCTGCTCAGTACAGTAATTCTATTAAGACATGAAGCAACTTAGAGTAGATACATTATAAATAAATGCTCAGGGTAGCTATGGCAATGAACTTTGTCAAAAACATCACTCAGAGAAGCCTTTTTTATGTATGTTTTGTCTGAAAGAAATACAGCCCACCCATTTCACTAAAATGCATTAATGGATTAAGTCAGGTTAATAGGCTATCCTTAGGTTACATGTACCCTATTCTGTAGAACTGGTTTTACTGAACTTGCCTTTGAAATGATGCTGTAAGACTATATTAATGGATACGTGATAGTTTCTTAGAACTTAGCCCATTTAAAAAAAAAAAATTATACTTTAAGTTCTGGGATACATGTACAGAATGTGCAGATTTGTTACATAGGTATACACGTACCATGGTGGTTTGCTGCACCCATCAACCCATCATTTACACTAGGTATTTCTCCTAATGCACTAGGTATTTCTTCCTCTAACCCCTCAGCCCTTGACAGGCCTTGTGTGTGATGGTCCCCTCCCTGTGTTCATGTGTTTTTATTGTTCAACTCCCACTTACAAGTGAGAACATGCAGTGGTTGGTTTTCTGTTCCTGTGTTAGTTTGCTGAGAGTGATGCTTTCCAGCTTCATCCATGTCCCTGCAAAGGACATGAACACATCCTTTCTTATGGCTGCATAGTATTACATGTGTATATGTGCCACTATTTTTTTAAATCTAGTCCATTGATGGGCATTTGGGTCGGTTCCAAGTCCTTGCTATTGTGAACAGTGCTGTGATAAACATACATGTGCATGTAACTTTGTAGTAGAATGATTTATAATCCTTTGGGTATATACCTATTAATTGGATTGCTGAGTCAAATAGTATTTCTGGTTCTAGATCTTTGAGGATCTAGAACTCACTGTCTTCCACAATGGTTGAACTAACATTCCGACCAACAGTGTAAAAGAGTTCCTATTTCTCCACATCCTCACCAGCATCTGTTGTTTCCTGACTTTTTAATGAATGCCATTCTAACTGGCATGAGATGGTATCTTATTGTAGTTTTGATTTGGATTTCTCTAATGACCAGTGATGATGAGCTTTTTTTCATATGTTTGTTGGCTGCATAATGTCTTCTTTTGAGAAGTGTCTCTTCATATCCTTCACCCACTTTTGATGGGATTGTTTTTTTGTTGTAAATTTGTTTAAGTTCTTTGTAGATTCTGGATATTAGCCCTTTGTCAGATGGATGGATTACAAAACTTTTCTTCCATTCTTTGGGTTACTTGTTCACTGATGATTGTTTCTTTTGCTGTGTAGAAGTTCTCATTTATCAACTTTGAACTTAGCCCATTTTATGTATTGCAAGGATACAGTGTTTTAAGGAGATTGTTATACCACACAATTTTTCTTTTTTAAGTCTAGCAAGACTTAAACAATTTTTCATATTAGAAACAATTGTGCTTTTCCTGAGCAATTAGCTTGTTCTTTCTTTATGGGTACTGTGGATTGTGTAACTGATCAGGCTTGCCTTTTTTTGTATAGAGTCATAGAAAGAGTAGATTCAAATTTGTGGTGTGACTGTTGCAGTTTTATGGAACGTCACACACTTCAGTACATTTAGATATTAGCTTCATTCTTGGCTTCTTTATATTTCCTAATTCTGGCATTTCTCTCTTTATCTTGCTTTTTTTCTTTCCTTCTTTCTTTCAAATTATTATATCTTCCTCATTTGCATTCTTTTAAGCTACCTTGTCATTTTAAAAAATTATAATAAGTATGTATACATACAAATATACACATAAATGTAAATTCTTAAAAGAAATTTAGATTTTAAAAGAGCTATCTGTCAAGTAAGCTTTTAAAACAAGTTCCTTTGAAGTTCTTTGTTTGCTATTAGTGTTATAATTTGCTTTAGGACATTAAGCCAGATTTTGTTAGATTCCTATTTCCTTTCAAGTTTAATTCAACAATTATATTAAAACCTAGTTAGACATGGATGTGGTTAATATTTTCGATTGATGTAATCTTTTACTCAAATAAAGCACTTGTTGATGTTACAGACATTGTAATCCAATGTGCAGGCCTACTAGTAAAGTTAAAATGAGCTTTGTAACTACAAGACTAAACTCTAGAAAAGCTGAGGGAAGGGCATGTTTTTATGTGAGTAATGTGAGTAATGAATACTCTAAAAATGTGTATTGACATTGGACTTAATGTTCTTTTTTTTGTTTTCTTCTTTTTCTGGACTTAATGTTCTAATGTACAAATGGTAGGTGGTATAGCATAGTGGTTAAGGACACTAAAATGTAAACAGTAGGTTGTACAGTAGAGTGATTAAGGGTACAGACTGAAGCTAGAACTCTTGAGATTGACAAATTGGCCATATGACAGAGAGAAAATAATGTAACCTCTCTGTGTCTAAGTTACATTATCTGTAACACAGGGAACAATAATAGTACCTACCTGTTGGGGTTGCAATCTCTGGCATGTAGTAAGCATCTAGTGAGTCTCGGTTATTACTGTTTTTAATATATGGTATAATATTTCAGAATGTATGTTGTTGATTTTAATTTTTAGATCTCTTGCGGCTGAATGGGGTAAATATGGTATGCGATTCAATGTGATTCAACCAGGGCCTATAAAAACCAAAGTAAGTTGTATTTTGCTTATTATTACATTGTGAATGATTAAATAATGAAACACTAATAAATATCTTTACAGAGATGCCTGGGTTTAGAGCCCTGGTTCTAGGGAAAAGGCTTTTGCCTTTATTCATTATCAAATATAAGAAATAAAGGGGCAGGCAGAAATATAGCAGCTATGCAATTTCTTCATAATGTCTGTTTCAGTGCCTTAATCTTTTGAGATCTTTTATGCCATCAGTTTTGGCACTTTGCCTGATTTGTTTCAGGAGTCTGTTACTGTCCTCTATTGTCAACTTTCACTACATTTTAAAGGCTCTTACATTGCCTGACATCCTGATTTTTTTCAAATCAAGAAAATGTAACTATATTTTTAGTTTAAGAAATGCTCCTGTAATTTATTATACAGGCTTAGTCTTGCCATAGGTAGCATTTTCCTTGACTCATGCCTATTCCCTTTCACTCTCAGTCAATTATGCATGCCGTCTAACGCCCACATCTCTCTGATTATAAATCCGTCTGACAGCATGGATTTCACCTGTAAGTAATAATCCTTGCAGATACTCATTGCAACTTGTAATTATCTTTAATGTTGTTACAGCTGTTGCTCAGAATGTCCACAGCTTCTCTGCTCTCTCATTACCCCAGAATAACTTCACTCTCACACTCTTGGTTTTCACCTAAAGCAAGAATTTATAATGCTAACCAGCTGTAATGTTGAAAGCCCAGGCAAAATTTGGTAACTTTTTTCAGTTCTGTAAACATATTGGAAAATAATACTAAGGGATATTTGGATTATAGGTAGCTCTGGGTATTAAATAATAACTTGGAAATGGCTGTATTAGTTTATTTAGCAGTTTAAAGGATGGGAAATGGAAATAAAAACTTCCTGAGAGACTGGAACTTGATGGACTATCTTATTTATCTGTCACATCAATACTAAACAGCCTAATAAAATTAGTGGAGAAAACCTTAAAAACATACCTAAAACACATGATTCAAGGTGGCCCTGTCCTAGGCATATCTGCAAAGAAGCTTATAGACACAGAGGCTTCTCTCCAAGACCCCCATATCTAGGGGAAAAAAATCACCTGCATTTTACTTAATTTATTTAACATGTAAATTGACTGCCCTCTATATGCAAGGGTACTGAGAAAGATACAGAAATATCTCTGAGAAAGTGCTTAACAGCAAGGAATTTATAGTCAAGCCACTGAGATAGGAGTTGTACTCAAATAATAAGTATTCACTGTTAAAGAGATTAAAAGAAAGCTGAAGTGTAGAAACTGCCTAGCATGCACTTTTTAGACCAGGATTGGGACCAGTTGCTACACCTTGTCTCTGGGCTTTATACCCTCCTGCGAAGAACTAGAGGTCTCTCATGGAGTCCGCTGAGTGTTCTGTCTTATGCCTGTGTTACTGAGAATAACTGTCACCTAAATTTCAAGGCACTAGTACAGAAAAATTCAGTTGTTTTTATTAATCAGTGCACATCCGTAATTCAACTTGATCTGTTCCTTCATGTCATTGGCAGAAAGCAAATTGGCCAATTTAGTTACAGTTTTTCTCTCTCTAGAATCTAATAGAATTTCTACATACTTGTTTTCTTCCTTTTCCAATATTTTGGGATGAAAGAAGAAAATAAATTTCCTCTTAAATATTTCCCATGAGTCACTTTTCTGTGTTTACTAAATAAAAAGTTAGTAATACCACTGCCTTTACACTAAGCTTATACAGATTTCAGAGTACTTTAATATACATTTTTTCATTTGAGGCTTATAATAATTTTGTGAGGTAGCTAAGATATATATCCTTACTTTACATAAAAGAAACTAAGATTAAAAGGGTTATATTTTCCAGTGATCTACTTTTTTTTAAAGAAGAATTTGGTGAAATTCTTTTTTACTTACAAAGTCTAAGATGTTAAGCTGCATGGTAGCATGCCATTATATACACATTTTTTTTTTCTTAAGTAGGAAAGGAGTTGCACTGAAAAACTCAACACAACCTAATTGTTTTCTTAATTTCTAAGGGTGCTTTTAGCCGTCTGGACCCAACTGGAGCATTTGAGAAAGAAATGATTGACAGAATTCCCTGTGGTCGCCTGGGGACTGTGGAAGAACTTGCAAATCTTGCTGCTTTCCTTTGTAGTGATTATGCTTCTTGGATTAATGGAGCAGTAAGCGTTATTTCTCTTCACTTTTTTTCAGGAGTGTGTCTAGGGCAGGGAGGACTGTTGTGGAACCAATTGTGACAATACTAAATGTAAATATGATTTAAAATATGTATTTAGCTGTAAATAATATCAAAATATTACATATATTATTTAGCCTATGACATTTATTCAGTGATGTATTCATCTATTCTCACACTGCTAAAGATATACCTGAGACTGTGTAATTTATAAAGAAAAGAGGTTTAATTGACACAGTTCTGCACGTCTGAGGAGGGCCCAGGAAATTTACAATTATGGCGAAGGAGAAGAGTCACGTCTTACATGGCAGCAGGCAATAGGGAGAGAGAAAAGGGAGACAAGATAGGTGTGGGGGAAACTGCCCCAATGATCCAATTACCTCCTACCGGGTCCCTCCCTCCACACCTGGGGATAATTGTGAGGATTACAGTTCAAAGTGAGCTTTTTGTGGAGACACAGCTAAACCATATCAAGTGATAAATTAATACATGCAAGTTACCTTGGTAGATATACCTTTAAGATGATCTTTGAGATTTGGTAGAGTTTTGAAATTGCGAAGATGTTAGAAATAGGATTTTAAACTGGATAGATCAATTTAGGTCTAATCATGAGTTTTATCTTTAAAATTTCATCTTTGATTAAACTGCCAAAGAGATATTCCATCCAATTAGTATGGGAAAATGGTTAGTGGTTCAGAAGCTTTTTGAAAGGAATTAGTTTCAGAGTTTAAAAATTTGTTTTTCCAGGTCATTAAATTTGATGGTGGAGAGGAAGTACTTATTTCAGGGGAATTCAACAGTCTGAGAAAGGTAATGCCATTTTGTGTGTATAATGTAATATGAGCAGCTAGGGTACTAGCTTTAAAAACATGTAAAAAGAACATTAAATTGACATCTTTTTGTGTTAGGTCACCAAGGAGCAGTGGGACACCATAGAAGGACTTATCAGGAAGACAAAAGGTTCCTAAGACCACTCCGGACTTCATCTTGCTTATAAACAAGGGAATAGAAATGAAACTATCTCTTATCTTTTGACTATTTCAAGTCTAATAAATTGTTAATTAACAAACATTCATTGAGTATGTATTATATACCAGGCCAGTGATAGCCATTGTATACTCAAAGATGAAATATAGTCCTTCAAAACATTAAAAAATAAAGGAGGCATAGGGAGAGTAGGTAAAGGCTTTGACAGAGGTAAGAAATGCTTAGAAGAGAGCAGATCTTTTTGGCTTGGAAAATCAGGAGAAACTCAATGGTGGGAGTGGCATTTGAGTTACATATTGTACTATACCTATAATGATAGGGCCTAAAAGGAAGAAATTAGAGGGTACATACTACATTTAATAGACTATGCCTTTTTAGTATATTTTCTTTTCACTAGACTTCTGAATTATCTTCTTTGGGTAACGTAGTATTAAGTTAATTTTTACTAGAACCTTTTTGTAACCTTTAATTTTTAGTACGACCTATTTGTAGCCAGGTATTTTATTTCATACTGAATAAGCTGTAACCCTTGCCCTCTTGACATTCATTATCTAGCAAGATAGTCAAACTCATAAATAATTATTTATGATACATTGTGATAAGTATTACTACAGCAGTATTTAAATGTAGAGGAGGAATTCATTCATTCTGTCTCCAGAATTTAGAGAATGTGATGCCTAGGAGATAGCATGCCATCCAAGCTGTAAAAGAAGAATAGCTTTCTCTGGGTTAAAAAGGTAAACAAAGTCTATAAAATATTTTTGTATATCATCTGATTAAGTTTCATTTTTGGTTTGACTAATTTGTCATCCTGAGAATCAAATAATAAGAAATCCAAAGTCTCAAGTCTACAGAGCTATACTTTTGAGCCTATATTTTTAAAATGTCCACTTTGCTTTCCCAGGGGTCACTCATAACATGTTCACTAGACTGACTATTCCCATTGCCCAAGTTGCCAGGAGAGGAAACCAACTTCCATCTTTCCTCATCTGAATAAATCTGCAAAGGAATCCAGTTTTCCTGTTTGAATTTGTATGCCACAAGCCCCATATGGGAACTCCTATTACATTGACAGTTAATTGTGTACATAAATTACATTTATTACATTTAATTGTGTATATATAGAGGAATGTTATAGGTTTGGAATAAGTGGCCTGACATTTTCTCCACATGCTTACAATACAATACTCTTAAAATAAAATGCAGACAGGTACCTAGTCTCTATTTTTCCTTTAGTACTAACTCTGTATCTTAGTCTGTTCTCATGCTGCCAATAAACACATAACCCAAACTGGGTAATTTATAAAGGAAAGGAGTTTAATTTACTCACAGTTCAGCCTGGCTAGGGAGACCTCACAATCATGGAAGAAGGTGAATAAGGAGCAAAGTCATATCTTACATGGCGGCAGGCAGGAGGGCTATGCAGGAGAACTCCCAGTTATAAAACCATTAGATCTTGTGAAACTTATTCACTATCACACTATTGTGTTGATATTGTGTTCACACATCTGTGGTGATAGTTTATCACTCATTCCATTTCCAAACCTACCTTCCCATCCACCTCTCCCCAAACACACAAAGACCTACTCTTTCCCTCCACTGATTCCACCAATATAGCCATATTTCTCCTTTTTGTTAAACTGATACTAAATGTTTACACTTATATAACTTAATAAATATTATTTTTTTCCAGTGTTTTTTCAACCTTTTTTTTAAAAAAAATTTCAGATTATATGATAAATCAGATTCTTTTTAAGATAAATATTATTTTTAGTATTCTATTGTTTTGATGTATCATAATTATTTATTGGAAATAGGGCTATTTATATTTATTATTTTTATCTTTTAAAATTTTTATAGAGACCGTTTCTTGCTGTATTTATCAGGCTGGTCTTGAACTTCTGACCTCAAGTGATCCTTCTGCCTTGGCCTCCTGAAATTCTGGGGTTATAGGCATGAGCCACTGAGCCTGGCCTTTGTGTTAAAATTTTTTATTATTTATTTTAAAATATATTTTATTGTACTTTAGTTTCTGGGGTACATGTGCAAAACATGCAGGATTGTTGCATAGGTACGTACATGGCAATGTAGTTTGCTGCCTTCATCCCCCCGTCACCTATATTTGGCATTTCTCCCTATGTTATCCCTCCCCAACCTCCCTACCTCCTGCTGTCCCTCCCCTAATCCCCCACAACAGACCCCAGTGTGGGATGGTCCCTTCCCTGGGTCCATGTGTTCTCATTGTACAACACCCACCTATGAGGGAGAACATGCAGTGTTTGTTTATCTGTTCTTGTGTCCGTTTGCTGAGAATGATGGTTTCCAGATTCATCCATGTCCCTACAAAGGACACAAACTCATCATTTTTTATGGCTGCATAGTATTCCATGGTGTATATGTGCCACATTTTCCTTGTCCAGTCTATCATCGATGGGCATTTGGGTTGGTTCCAGGTCTTTGATATTGTAAACAGTGCCACGATGAACATACACGTGTGTGTGTCTTTATAATAGAATGATTTATAATCCTTTGGATATATACCCAGTAATGGGATTGCTGTGTCAAATGGAATTTCTGTTTCTTTGTGGTGTTCTCTGTATTTCCTGGACTTGAATATTGACCTGACTTGCTAGGTTGGGGAAGTTCTGGATAATATCCTGAAGAGTGTTTTCCAGCTTGGATTCATTCTCTCTGTCACGTTCAGGTACACCTATCAAATGTAGTTTAGGTCTTTTCACATAATCCCATATTTCTTGGAGGCTTTGTTCATTTCTTTTCACTGTTTTTTCTCTAATCTTGCCTTCTCATTTTATTTCATTGAGTTTATCTTCATTCTCTGATATCCTTTCTTCTGCTTGGTCGATTCAGCTATTGAAACTTCTGTATGCTTCAAGAAGTTCTCATGCTGTGTTTTTCAGCTCCATCAAGTCATTTATATTCTTCTCTAAGCTGTTTATTCTCGTTAGCATTTCGTCAAAGCTTTATTCAAGGTTCTTAGTTTCTTTGCATTGGGTTAGAACATGTTCTTTTAGCTCAGAGAAGTTTGTTATTACCCACCTTCTGAAGCCTGTTTCTGTCAGTTCCTCAGACTCATTCTCCATCCAGCTTTGTTCTTTTGCTGGTGATGAGTTGTGATCCCTTGGAGGAGGAGAGGTGTTCTGGTTTTGGGTGTTTTCATCCTTTTTGTGCTGGTTTCTTCCCATTTTTGTGTATTTATCTACCTGTGGTCTTTCTAGTTGGTGACTTTTGGATGGGGTCTCTGAGTGGATGTCCTTTTTTTTGATGATGAAGCTATTTCTTCCTGTTTTTTAGTTTTCCTTCTAACAACCAGGCCCCTGTGCTGTAGGTTCACTCCAGACCCTGCTTTCCTGGGGATCACTTGCGGCGGCTGCAGGACAGTAAGGATTTCTGCCAGTTTCTTCTTCTGTTAGCTTTGTCCCAGAAGGATACCCACCAGATGTCAGCCTGAGCTCTCCTTTATGAGGTGACTCTTTGGATATACGGCAGTCAGGGAGCTGCTTGAGGAGACAGTTTATCTCTTTTTGGAGTGCTAATGTTAAGCTGTGAGCTCTGTTGTTCTGTTCAGAGCTGCTGGGCAGGTACGTTTAAGTCTGCTGCAGTGGAACTCATAACTGCTTTTTTTCCCAGGTGCTCTGTCCTGGGAAGGTGGGGCTTTATAAGTTCCTGATGTGCTGCTGCCTTTTTTCAGAGATGCCCTGCCCAGTGAGGAGGTAGCCTAGTCACAGTCTGTGAGCAAAGGCATTGCTGAGTTGCCGTGGGCTCTGTCCAGCTGCTGTGTGAACTTCCTTGCAGTTTTGTTTATAGAGGTATAGTTAGAACTGCCTCCGTAATGGCAGTCTGCCTCAGTAATGGCAGACTGCCTCTGTAATGGCAGATTGCCCAGTAATGGCGGATTGCCTCAGTAATGGTGGACTGCCTCTGTAATGGTTGACTGCCTTGGTAATGGCAGACTGCCTCAGTAGTGGCAGACTGCCTGGTAATGGTGGACGCCCTTCTCTTGACAGAGCTGAACTGTCCTGGGTCCAGCTGTGCTTGCTGCGATACTCTCAATCCAGAGCATTTCAGATTGCTGGTCTTTGTGGGGGTGGGACTCGCTGAGCCAGATCACCTAGCTCCCTGTTTCAGCCTCCTTTTTATCAGTTGAATGGGTGGCTCTGTCTCCCAGGTGCCAGTTGAAATGGCTTCCCAGATTTGTGAGAGTTTTTGTGTGGAGACCCAGCTGAAACAGCCGTGCTGGGAACTCATGGTGCTTTTCAGCCCGGGAATCTTCTGGTCTGTGGACAGTAATAGCTCGTTTGGAAATGTGGTGTTCACTCACCCTCTACGTTGTTCTTTCCGGGAACTGCACTCCAGAGCTGGTCCTATTTGGCCATCTTGGATCCCTCCAAGCAAGATTTTTTATTTTTTAATGTTTTTCAAGAATGCTGATGCCTCTCCCAATGCATTCTAAAATTAGTATTAATATTACTTTTGATTGGCAAATCACAACTGAATTCATTTATGGGGTGCCCTGTACATTTAAGGGATACAGTGTGATGTTTTGATAAATGTGTATAATGTGGAATGATTAAATCAAGCTAATTAACATATCTGTCACCTCTCTTACCTATTGGCTTTTATGGAGAGACACTTGAAATGTAATTTTATTAATTATTTTAAAATATACAACACATTATTATTGACTATAGTCATGCTGCAATAGATCTTAAAACCTGTTCTTGCTATATGAAATTTTGTACACTTTGATCAGAAATCCCTAACCCCCTTCTCCCTACTCCCCTAACCTCTAATAAACTATCATTCTACTTTCTTTCTTTCTTGGTTTTTTTTTTTTTTTTTTGAGATGGAGTCTTGCTCTTGTTGTCCAAGCTGGAGTCCAATGGTGCGACTTCAGCTCACCACAACCTCTGCCTCCCAGGTTCAAATGATTCTCCTGCCTCAACCCCCCGAGTAGCTGGGATTACAGGTGCATGCCACCACGCCCAGCTAACTTTTTGTATTTTTAGTAGAAAAGGGGTTTCATCATGTTAGCCAGGCTGGTGTTGAACTCCTGACCTCAGGTG